ATCTTTGCATTTCGTTTTTTCTGCCAAAGTGGAGTCTCTTGCATTTGTCACTGTTGAACTTCATTTTGTTAGAAGTTCAACAGTATTAAAACTTGAGACCCAATGAGATCTTCATTGAAAAACTAGAGCAGGATGTCCCTCCCCCCAAAAAACAAAGTTTTGCAGTTTTTATAAACTTTTTCCAATTTTTAAATAATAGAACCAATTAGGAAATGACATTTTTAACTCAGGAAGAAAAATCATTACATAGTGTAATAACAAGAATACTTCTTAGTCAGCACAGCAGCTTTATTCGTATTGGGTTGTTGTAGGTTTTTTCGGGCTATATGGCCATGGTCTAGAGGCATTCTCTCCTGACGTTTTGCCTCCATCTATGGCAAGCATCCTCAGAGGTAGAGAGGTCTGTTGGAAATCGGAAAAGGGGTTTATATATCTGTGGAATGACCAAGGTGGGACAAAGGACTCTTGTATGCCGACCACCTTGATTAGCATATAATGGCCTGTCACAGAAATTTGAGAACACAGAAATGCTGGACCACTCTCACAACCAACATGTCAGGCGACCAGAGAAGCCATTGAAATTCACAAGCATGTGGACAATTTCAACAGAAAGGAATGAACAAAATGAAAATGAACAAAATTTCAACAGAAAGGAATGAACAAAATGAAAATGAACAAAATCTGGCACCCAGTATTAAAAAACTCTAAAATTACAACAGCAAAACAACAGAGAGGAAACAAATAAGGACATATAATCACCTCTCAACAAAAGTTTGCTCCAGGCACTGCCAGGCAATCAAATGCTAATCAGGGTGGTCAGTTGAAACATTCGAACCTAGCTCCAGCAGACAAGAGTCCTTTGTTCCACCCTGGTCATTCCACAGATATATAAACCCATTTTCCTCATTCCAACAGACCTCACTACTTCTGAGGATGCTTGCCATAGATGCAGGTGAAATGTCAGGAGAGAATGCCTCTAGACCATGGCCATAAAGCCCGAAAAAACCTACAACAACCCAGTGATTTGGGCCATGAAAGCCTTCGACAAGACATTTATTCAGTTGATTTCAAAGCTTTATAATTCTGCATATTCTTTCAAAAGACATCAGCAGTTGGTGTCTGACAATTTGGTCCACACCTCCCTAGTTAAGCCACCCGCTTTAGCTTCCTAAAGTCCACCGTACATCCACTTTCTATCTTGAAACCTGCTCTGAGGTTGTTATTTTTCTCCAAACTTCCTGATGACTGTACCTTTTGTCCTTCATTGTTCATCCAGAGAAGCAAAACGTTATTTATGTGCTTCTATGCAAAACTACTGTGCTCAATGAGCTTTGTTTATGTACTGTGTGCAGCACTCTCCATACCTTTGGCCTCTTCCCGGTGGTGCCAGGCGGCCTTCAGAAGAGGCACATTGA